AGCATAAAATATTTATAAATAAAAATTCCACTACTACACATGTGCAACGCCCCCGCCCACCACCCGCGCCCCCTGCCGCAAATCGGAAGCAACATTAACTGTCATTGCAGTTTGTGGGCTCTCTTTAAAGAGAGCGCGAAAAGGAGCAGGAGGAGGAGGCCAGGCTTGGCTCAAACCAGGGCATTATTAACAGGCAACTCTGCCAGAACGTCTCTCTGTGTGTGTGTGTGTGTGTGTGTGCGTTATGGCCTGGCCAACGTCCATGGCCTAAAGCTGGCGGCGTAGAAATTACATTACATTTTACAAGCGGCCAGGGCGGACAGGACCCACAGCCAGGACCATTTGGGGGGAGGCGGGGGCGGACCACGGCTGGCATATTGTTACGGCTCTCTGCCCCCTCCATACCCTCCCCTCCCCGGCATACAAAATGTAAAATATGAACATACATTTTCACAATGAGGCAGGAGAGGAGTCGAGTCGAGTCGAGTCGAATCGAATCCTGAACGTGGGCGTGCCGGCAGCGCCGCCATGTACTTTGATGCCCGTGTCCTGGCTGGTCGGCGTTAAATATTTTGTAATAAGCACAATAAACCACAGGCGAAACAAGTTTCTGCGAATTTCCCACAAACAAGGAACCGAAGCATGGCATACACTCCTCGACGATGGGGGGTCATAGGAGGGGAAATATAAAGGAAAATCGAGGAGAAGAAGAAGGAGAGAAATTGAAATAATGAGCAGAAAGAAACCCATTTTATTGGAATTTAAAATCATTTAACTAGGTCTGTGTTTCTTTTTTCCGAAACGTAAACCGTTTTCATAGACTTTTATATATTTTATTTGTATATAAAGTAAATATAATTTATTAGATAAATTATTATATAAATTATGTTTTATTTGTATATAAAATAAAAATAATTTAATATATAAATTGGTATATAATTATATTCTATTTTTATTTATTTATTTTATTTATTATATAAATTATATTTATTTTATATTCTATTTTTATTTATTTATTTTATTTATTATATAAATTATATTTATTTTATATTCTATTATATTTATTTATTTTTTTATTTATTATATTTTTTTATTTATATAATATATATTTTTTAAATTCCTTAGTGAGGTTCGAATTTACTTATAAATAATTAATAATAATAATAATTAATTTAATTAATTTTGATTTTAAAAACCCTGAAAATAAGCAAAATATTACTTCTGTGGTATTTTTTTGGGTTTTTTTTTTATAGTCATGTTTTAATTTAATTTTTTTTCCTTTAAACAAAAATTATTTTTGATAAAAGTTCCGCAAAGTCTCTCTAAAATATTGAAATATGTGATAATAATAAATAATAAATAAATCTCGGTTTGAATTTTACGAAGCCAAGAAATGTGTGGCTTAAATTTAATTCAAGATAAAAGACTACAAACGATTTTGCGTCAAATTACAAACAGCAATTATAAGAAATTCGCATGAATATACGGCCTCAGCTTTCGCTGAAATCTGAGCTTGAACTTAAAGCCACTGTTAATGGGTAACAGAGGGCAACGGCACTGTTAGCATCCCAGGCTAACCGCCTGTTAACGCCGCTGGGTAGGGCGCTCGGTTAACAGCGGAAGACCGCTCTCAGCTAGCAGCCAATTACCGCTCCAGGTAGCTGCTCTCTGTTAACAGTCTGCTGCCGCTCCAGGTAGCTGCTCTCTGTTAACAGTCTGTTACCGCTCTAGAGTAAAGCTCTCTGTTAACAGCCTGTGGCCGCGCTCTTTTAACAGACAGTTAGATCGCCCTTTGCCTCGCTCTCCAGCCTCGCTGTCGCTCTTCCGCCTCCCTCTCGCTCTTCAGCCTCCCTCTCCAGCCTCGCTCGCAGCAAAAACTCTGCTACTCTCTCCGTATCGTTACTATTTCTAAAGGCTTTAAACTTCTCCCCTCATACATCTCCAATAGGTACCCATCATAATGCTATTCTTTCACCAACAATAACTGAAGTTTGATTAAATTTTGTGCCCAAAACCTTAAAGTTTTTCCCACAAAGAACTGTTTTCTGATCCTTGGATCGCACTCCGTTCGGAGGGCTATACTGTGGACATACTCGAAGCCAAGACCCGACAGCCCGAACAGCAGTCATAACAGGCCATAACTTGAGGCCCTAACAAGCCCCGAAATTTATGCACATCGATGGGAGGACGGGAATCGGAAGGGGCAAAGGCCGGGCCGGGGGACACCAATTGAGTGTCTCACCCGCTGAGCGGGCCACGAGCCCCCAAACCCATCCGCCTGATAATGGTTCAATTATTTTTCCGCCCTATTTAACTGCATGTAAAACGGGGGACTGGGGGGTGACTGAAAGGTGACTGGGGGGGGCCGGGGAACTACCTCGAATACGTGAACCGCTCCGCTCTCTGGCTATGGCTCCGGCTATGGACAATGGGAAACCGACCTCAACGCTCCCCGGATATGTTGAACAATTTTCCGGCCATGGACAAGGAGGCAGACGTGCAACACACACACATCCTCTTCGTTGTTCGTTGTTCGTTGTTCGGCTTTTCCAACCGCAAAAATTTGTCACACGTCATATGGCCACGCCCCAGTTTTGAGGGCAACGCCCCCCCCCCCCCCCCCGCCCCGCCCGCACTCCACCATGCTCTTCGGTCACACGTTAGACATTAGAGGGGTGGAGGGGGGGACTGTGAACAAAAGCTCTTTATATGCGGGCGGGCATTGTCAGCTCGTTAAATGGTCAGAGGGGTTGGTGGGTGGTGGGGGGTGGAGGGGGAGTCCTCGTCACCCACTTCATCTAATGGGTTCTTTTTCCAGGCCTAAGGGAAAGGCTAAGGTGTGGACTCCAAACCAAGGGAATGCCTGGGACAGGAGGAAGTCCCATAATGGACGCTTCCAAAATACAAAAAAAAAAAAACAAAAACCAACCACAATGCCACGGGGAAAACCTCAAAGATAATAGATAGATATCCAGAAATACGGCCTTAACACCAGGGATCGTGCGGACTATTATTATTATTTTTTTTAAAGCCATAGGGCTTAATATTTTTTTGAGGATCATTTTTAAAAGCCAAAAGGTTTTTTTTAAAGCATTATTTTTTAAAAACCATTGGGCTATTTATTTTTTAAAGCATCATTTTTAAAAGCCATAGGGCTATTTTTTAAAGTTTAATTTTGAAAATTATTATTTTTTTAAACCCATAAGTCTTTTTTTTAAGCATAAATTTAAAAACCATAAGGCTATTTTTTTTAAGCATTATTTTTTAAACCCATAAGCCTTATTTTAAGCATAATTTTTAAAAGCCATAGAGCTATTTTTTTTAAAGCTTAATTTTTAAAAGCCATAAGACTTTTTTTAGGCATTATTTTTTAAACCCGTAAGGTTTTTTTTTTTAACATAATTTTTAAAAGCCATAAGGCTTTCTTTTAAGCATCATAATTTTTTCTGTGACTGTTTATAAGCAATAGGTAAAATGGCTTTGCCATTACTATTAAAAAAAAAAGAAAAAATTAAAAAAAAAAAATGTATGGAAATTTTATTTTGTTTTTAATCATATTTTGAGGTGTTTTTTTTTAAAGAAAATTAAGTACAATTTCTTGGAATTATTGTAGGAAGCAAAGACAATATTTTTGGGTACCCCTTAAGTGCTCCAATATCGTTTAAATATAAGACTTCTGAGGTTTGAACGTTAGAGATCTCAGGGCTAAGGTCTTTTCACAAAAAAATATTGAAGAAAATACATAAAACTCGGTTTAGGGACCGGAGATGCCAGCTTTTTATCGAATATTTGTGTGAAATCCGCAGCCAGGTTGCGGAGGGCGGGAGGCAGGATGTAAGAAGGATGCGTCTTTTTCATAACTTGAACTAATTTCTGAAAATTATTAATGATGTTGATGGCCAATTGAAGGCGTTGAATCGAGGCTGCAAAGAGACAGGAACAGGGACAGGGACAGGGACTGGTGCAGTGCCAGTGGAAAAATGATTTTGCGAACGCGTCTGGGCATTTAACATTAATTAACATTAATATAGCCATCCAGCACTTGAACGGAGCGCAGGACCTGCTCCGTGCTCCCTCCTCCGGCTCCGGCTCCCTGCTCCCTGCTTCTTCTGTGGCTCGAGCCCCAGGCTGCCCCTCGCGCTGAACTTTAATAACTCAGTTAAACAGCTTATGGGGCAATTTGCGGGGCCGCAAAGTGTTTGGCGTCCGTTCTTGGTGGCTTGGTCCTTCGAGCAGAAGTCCTTTCCGGTTGCCGTTGTCGTTTCCCGTGTGCACTTTTTGAAATTCTCCGCTCGTTCGCCGTTCGTTCGGTTTCGGCGGATACCGAAATTTAATTTCCTTTGTAGCAATTTTTATTGCTATTTATTATTATGATTATTATGTAGTGCTCGGCGGCAAGGACACGCCAAAAGGCAAGGGGGCTCTCTCCGTCTCTCCGTCCCCGTCTCTCTCTCTCTCTCTATTTCTGCTCGTTATGGTCGGGCCATAAATTTGTTTGCTCGCCTGGGCCTCGGATGGGGCACGACTATAGTATCGATGGGTCCATCGATGGTCTCTCGCTGGATATGCAAACAACAATATTTGCGCAAATTGTTTGGGACGCTCCTGGGCCCCCTTCGTGTGCTGGATTTACGATGGCCCACTGTTGCTTCGCCTGATTATCGTCTGGTATTAAATGTCCAACTGCTTGTAAAACTATAAAATTTCATGATTTATCTGCCCAGAGACTACTCGCAAATTATGATGACAGCGAGACAGAAAGAAAAGAAACGAGACGGCGACGGCGACGGCGACCGTCCCAAAGGACCACAGAAGGGACCCTTTTTTTTATGCATTTTGGGTTAAATCTGTTTTGGGGCCGAACGCCGGGGGCGCTCTAAATTAAACCACAAATAAGCAGCAGCATATGAATATTCCAGACGGCTCAGACGGGTACACTTTCGGTGGCAAATCCTTGAGCTCATAATTTCTCCATCTCATTTTCTCTCGTTTCATTTCAGGTCTTTCGAGCGAGCGACAAGCCCTGGAAAAAACTCGGAAAAAACTGCAAAAAAAAACAACTTAAAGTTCGGGTAAGTCTCTGAAGGAGCGGCTGGGCCGTGGTGCTGTGGCGCCTCCTTTTGTGGCCCGTAGCTCGATAATGAAGTTGAATGTGTTGACAAGTTTATTTGCTTAATTTTTGCCCGGCACGCCATTTTTGAGTTGCCAGCGACTGTCGCGGGGGCCGCCAGAAAGAGGCCGCCGGGAGTGGCCGCCAACGCCCCCAAGAGGGGGCATGGGGCGCGGCTCCGCTACGCGCTGACAGGACCCGTTCCATCACAATGATGAGTCGTCGTTGATAAATACGAAACGAGGTTACGCACACGATGGTCGGGGTTTGGGGTTGGTTCCCCGGCGAATGGATGGATGGGTGGTGCTTCCAGAGGCCTGCCCCACGTGGCACTCAACTTTCGACTAAAACTGCAGAAAAGGAGGCTGCTTTTTCGAAAGCCTTTTAAGGGAGACTTTTCCACAACTGTCCCCAAAATTATCAAAAACATATATTAAAGAATATCCTTAGATCCTTAGATCCTTGGCTCGACAAATGGTTCCATTACTTCCTGCCAATTCCTTCAAAGAAATTTATTCCCCCGAATTTGTTCTTAGGTTTTGAGGTTATGATTTTGGTATTTTAATATATGCTTTGATAAATCCCTGAAGATCTATCTCTAAATACTGTCTTGTCGCGGATTTTATTGGATTTTCCATCGTTTTTTAAGAAAATGCGTTCCATTGAAGGACAATCGAGGCCTACATTCATACACGATCGATCGATGATGACAGACAGCGCCACGGTTGGAACATGTTGTAACGAGACGTTTTCATGCCTGATCGATGATCGATGGTCGGCTATGAACGTCTCACGGTTGGAACATGTTGTAACGAGACGTTTTCATGCCTGATCGATGTTCGATGGTCGGCTTTGAACGTCTCACGGTTGGAACATGTTGTAACGAGACATATCTATGCCTGATCGATGATCGATGATCGTTGGCACTGATCAAACCTGTTGTAACGAGTTAAAAACTAGAAGCTGACCGAGCCATAGCCATTCCCATTTCTCTGCATTTCTATTTGGTAAACTCGACTTTCCCTGAGGTCCACACGCACCAAAGCCCCTTCCCCGCCTCAAGCCTCCTTCCATATCCTTTCGTTTCAATTTCTGCGGCCAATTAGAGCGCTTTGACGCCGCCTCGGGGTCAATTGGCGTGCCATTTGCTTATTTTGCCCCCAAATTGCGGTCATAATTTTGTAGCTCACTGTGTGCCCGGTGCCGTGTGCCCTGTGCCGTGTGCTTTGTGTGTGTGCCCTTCTTTTTGTGGTAAAATGAAAGGGCTTTTCCGACAAATTAATAATTATATGAATGGGGAAATGGAAAATGCAAAACTTTTCCATGAATAAAATGTATTCGCAGGGTATTCGGCAGGCGGCTGTCCGTCAGAGAAAGGCGAGATTCGGCTGTTTGTCAAAGTAATAAAATAATTATTAATTAGGAGAGCGAAAGCCGCAGAATTATTCAGTTGTGTGTGTGTGTGTAATATTTAATTAAGAATTTTGAGCAATGACCGTGCAATGGGCCGGCAGCAGGTACATTTATCGATTCCCGGTTTTAGGGGGATTTTCGGAAGAGCCTCAAGATAACAGAGTCATCCATTTTGAGCAGTGAACGATCACAGAGACGAGAGTGACGAGAGACGTAACAGAGAGCCGTAACAGAGAGCGGTAACAGAGAGCGGTAACAGCGAGCCGTAACAGAGAGCAGTAACAGAAAGCAGTAGCGAGATGCGTAACAGAGAGCGGTAACAGAGAGCCGTAACAGAGAGCAGTAACAGATAACTGTAACAGAGAGCAGTAACATAGAGACGTAACAGAGAGCGGTAACATAGAGACGTAACAGAGAGCGATAACAGAGAGCGGTAACAGAGAGCGGTAACGAGAGCCGTAACAGAGAGCCGTAACAAAGAGCCGTAACAGAGAGCGGTAACAGAGAGACGTAACAGAGAGCAGTAACAGAGAGCAGTAACAGAGAGCAGTAACAGAGAACTGTAAAACACAAATCCACAGGCTGTTGAGGGTTTTGTTCTTACAGCGAGGTTTTAGGGGATTTTTTTGACAAACCCTCAACATAAAAGAGTCATCCAAATGCCGCATTGTTGCTCCTTGCTGTTGCTGTCAGAACAGGATGATCAGGAGAGGCAGGCAGCTGCATATATTAGCACACTTTACCCCCGTTTTCCCCTTCATAGTTTACCTTTTACTGCCCCTCTCTCTCTCTCTCTGTTTGTCCATGTCCATGTCCGTGCCTCATCGCAAAAGTTCGCTCAACGGAAACGGAAATAATTTGTCATTTTATTTATATTTTATGATTATTTATTTTATGCCAGCATTTTGCCGGGTCTTCAGGCTCGGGATTGAGCCACGGACCCGGGCTCACACATACATTGGCATTAGTTTTTTTGGGCAACGCTAACGGACTTCCTTCCGTCGCAGGGCCGCGTCATGTGGCCGTTTCAAGTGCCACAAATTGTTGCATGCTTAGTCTGCCTTTCGGGGGTGTTTTCGTTGCACAGTGGGCCGCATCAGAGATGTGCTGAGAGGGCTCACTCGTACGAGCTGCCACAGGCACTGTGCCACAGCGAGTAGTCGGTCTGTGGCCAGTGCCTGTCGCTGTTCCGGCTCTAAGGCCCATTCCTCATCGCATATCGCTTACTGGCGCATACTTGGTGGCCAGACGCCAGTCGCCTGGTTGTACATGTCACATGCCCACTGCCCTGCCCTGCCCAGCACTCGCTCTTTTTTTTGCTGCCCCTGCTGCTAAGGGTGTTTGTGTTTGTGTGTGTGTTTTGACCACATTGCTGCCAGTCGTCGTCGTCCCCTTGTCGTTTTTCTTGTTTGTTGGCTTGTTCAACAAACTCGTGCGTAATTTTGCCGACCTCACTCCCACACCTCCACACCTCCAATCGACTTCTACTTCATAGATGTATTCATGCTTGCTATGAGAGCAATAGAGTCTGTACAGCTAACAGAGCACACAGCAGAGTGACAAGGGGAGAGAGAGAGGGAATTTAAAGGCACCTCAATGCTAGATCTATGTAGAGATCTTGGGGAAGAGCCCTGTGGATTGTTAGAGCGGTCCCAGAGCGATCTAACAGAGAGCCCCCTACAGAGAGGCCTAACAGAGAGGCCTAACAGAGAGCCATAACAGAGAACACGAACAGGGAGCCCTAACAGAGGGGCGGTAAAAGAGATCGGTAACAGCGAGCGGTTACAGAAAGCCGTAACAGAGGGCCCTAACAGAGAGAAGTAACAGAGAGCGCTCTTGGAGAGCGATAGCAGATAGAGGTAACAGTGCGCGATAGCAGAGGGCGGTACCAGACAGCCCTAACAGAGTTCGTTAACTGTGAAAGGTAACAGCGAACGCTCTCAGAGAGCCGTAGCAGTGATCTGTTACAACAGATCCGCAGGCTGTTAAGGCAGTTGCTGTTACAGCGAGCGTTAACAGACTGTAAACCCTTGAAGCTGCTAACAGACGCTGTTTCAGGCTCCTCTCTCTTCTCCTCCAGTGCTTTTTCCCTCAGTTTATTTATGGTTGCGCTTAGGCCCGGCCCGGCCCCTCCCCCCCCCCACTTCTGGCCCCTTTTCCGCATACAGGTTGCACGTCTCTCGTTTCCATTGGCCATTTGCCTGGATTCTGTACGGCTGACCACTTGATACAGTGATTTTTCATGCTATGATTAATTAACTGAATCGCTCTCTCTCTCTCTCTCTCTCCCCCTCCCCCATTCGTACAATAAATACTTGTATATTTAGGCCAGAAACAGAGCCGCCACTCCCCAACCCCCGGGGGGCAGGGGCAGGTGCAGGAGGACGGTGCTTGCGGCGTGTTTAATTTCCACTCGAGCACCTTTCCAGCGCCGTTGAAAAACGCAAAGCAAATTGAAAAATGGAAAATGGAGAGGGGGGGAAAAAAATACACAACGAATAGCAAAGCGAATTACTCTTAATGAGTTGGAAAATGCAAACAAAGCGCAGCATAAAGTTGGCCCACAGACAGGGGGGAGGGGGGTGGAGGCGGGGTGGCGGCACAGGTCGTTGGTCGCTGGTCGCTGAATAAAAAATGAACGGACCCCCGCCCCTCCTTAGGGCCAGGAAGCGCGGCCAAAGCGGCCGGATATTACAATACAAAACGAGGCCCAAAGAGAGCGAGAAAACGTGGCCAAAAAGGAATCAAATTAATGCAAACAGTTGAGTGAAAACTATGAGCCGCATTTGGGGCACACACACAGAGAGAGAGGGAGAGGGAGAGGGGGGAGACCTCTTGACCCAAGCGTTGACTTTTCCAGCACATTGTTTACATTAGATTTGAATATTATTTGGCCGGGAAAAAAGAAGTGCCTCAAAGGCGAAAAGTGAAGTGCAAAATACCCTCAAGGACAATGGCCAGCTGGGAAATTAAATCAAAGCCAAAAGCAGGGACGGGACATTCTCTCTCTCCTTTCAATTTCCAATCGAGTCAAATCAAGAGAAAGCGATACTCCACGCCGTTCCGCCTTTGTTCCCACAGCACATACGAGTCGAAAGAAATGACAGAAGGTCCTCGCACAATGCACATAAGTGCTGGGGATAACAATGCAGGTCCTCTGACTGCCGACCTGCCGACCTGCTGACTTGCTGACTTGGAGTTGAGTTGAGTTGACAAATGTTATTGCGGCCCTTTGTTAGGGTATACATAATGGATGCCTTCATTTCCGCTTCCGAATGCTGCTTCCTCCTCCGCCTTCGCTGTGTCCTGGCCTGGCGTCCAGTCATTGCCAGTGGCTCTATGAAAAACCACTGCCAGTAGTCCAGTCTGCGGGATACCTGCGAAAGATATTGCATTCTGTCCTTGAAGCATTTGCTTTTCGGAGTAATAATTATTGATGATTGACTGTGGCCTGCAGATCCTTGAATTGTCTTCGAATGCCCCATCGTTTGGCAGTCACTTAATTATGTGGCAGCACACTTCAAGGCCGTCCTGCCGCAGTCGT